TTTTTGATGAATTGCTTTGAAACTCATAATGTGAGGATATATTAGTAGTATAGACATGATGAGATGGTCAAAATAGCAAGATCTCACGCGCTTGCACGTGCGCTTCGCTCTGATTGGCTGAAACTAAAGTCTCAATATCTTTCTTGTTTCTTGTCATAATCCTTTGAAATTTTGAACATAGTCCTACATTATAAAGATCTACAGCCTGATATATAAGAATTTTCAAGAAAGCATGCGCATGCACGTGTGCTGCAATCTGATTGGCTGAAACTTTATATAGCTATAACTCCCTTGGTTTTCAACCAAACAGGATGGAATTTGGAACATAGATAGATATAATGGATTTCTACAAGAAGGTATGGTCACCATGCACATACATACACATGCGTGTACGTGCGCTGCAATCTGATTGGCTGAAACTTTAAACAGCTATAAGTCCCTTGGTTTTCAACCAAACGGGGTGGGATTTAGAACACAGATAGATGTAATGGACTTTTACAAGAAGGTATGGTTACCATGCTCATGTATGCAGATGCGTGCACGTGAAATGAGTAAAATCAAAAATACACTTGAATGAGCATATTTTTTAATCATTTTGGATTAAATACTTTAATATTTAGTATATTTAAATATATAGATTGTATAGACAAGATGATATGGTCATTACGCAAATGCATTCAAATGCGCACGCGTGCGATGCTAAAATTTGAATGAACTTGGTACACTTCTGGGTAAACGTTGGTAAAGTCTCAAATGCATCGAAATTGTCTTATTTAATGACGTTTACAGGGAATATGGCACCAAAAGGGAGTTGGGGAGCGTTTGGGGAACATCTCTAACGGCCCCCGTTAAAATTAGCACTAGTTGTATTTATAGTTAACTTCTTTGTTGAAAATTCTGCTTTGAGCAAACATATATCTGTATATTTAACCTACAATGGGTGATCAAAAAGTTCGCGAACTATCTCTGTATTTACAAAACCATAATTCATATAAGAATGAAATATGGCACACATAGAGTCATACACAGGTTCTATAAATAGCATATGTAATGGAACGTTTTGTCCCGTGTTTGTGACGTCACAAAATGAAAATGACGTCATAAGGTAGATAACATGTGACAAAAAATGGTTGACTCAGTCGTATTCTAGAAACGAACGGCTGTAAACTAAAACATATGTCTTGGAAATTCCTTTGCAGATGTTTATAATAATTTAAACAGGGTTTAATAAGACCAAAAGACATGCCAGAAGTCTTTTAATTAATTGGATTGATTGTTCATCGGCAATACAATGACCTTGTCAGTAAAAACAGTCTATCATTTAGTCAAATTCTGATAGCAAATTCTGATAGAAGTTTTTCATATCAATTGTGATTATTTATACACCGATTTGTCAGCGGAGTTTTCCGGTTCCCCGATCATGACAGGTACTATAATGTTGTAAATTTTGAATTTACTAGGGGGAGGTAAATGCAAAATTTACAACTTGTAAACTTTGCATTTACCTCCCCCTAGTAAATTCAAAATTTACAACATGATACAGGTCTACATGTGTTTATATTATCCTCCATGACACCTGATCCAACCTATGACGTTTTAGATGTCAGTCTTTGTTCTGATCCCAATTTGTATTGGTTAAATGGACTATGAGCTTGATAATTGTTCCTTATCTGCGTATTTTATACTCTCAGTTTGAAAGTTCTATCCTGGTCCATGTGGGATCCAGGATTTTATAAAAGTTCTGTTCCAGAAACAATGCCAATGTCGAACATAAATCTTTGCTACAACGTGAACCTTTCTTTTACTAGTACAAGTCAGTTGTATTCTTTTTAAAGTTTGCTGTCCACTCTAAGCAATTGATTTTTATGATATAAGGAAACTAATTGTTTTATTCCATCTACTTTTAAAGGTTTTTTGCATTTATTTTATTCCGTCCTTTTTATTTTAGAAACCTAGTGATGGACAATCGGGAAAATTGACAAAATAAATTTGTTTGTGTTCCCCCAAGCAAAGGATAATGGCATACGGATTTTGAGACAAATTCACCTTTTAAAAAGAGTTTTCATCTATTTTTCAGAATGATAAATATCTGAACTGCTTTAGTAGGTGATCGAATTAAAAGAATTTTGGTCCCCCGCATTCGGTGTCTTTCCGGATGGGATCCCATTATTTATAGTATATTGTGTCAAATATGATCACCCTATCATATGATCTTAAAATGTAATCACCAAAGTTATAATTTTTGAATATAAATGCTCTATCATTCCCTTTCAAAGGTTAAGACCAATATAATGCAGTGTTAAATTTTTGAAAAGACGGTCACATAGTCAAAGATTATAGTGGATTTGGAAAGGTCATGTCACAGGTAACTTTTGCGAAAACGGGGGACAATAAATATTCATATTTTCGAAGTGCATATTTTCATGGGTAGATATTTATAAAATGTTCTTAAATCTCTATAGAATAATAAAGAGATTATTAAATACTGAAAAAATGTCATAATTATGAAATTCAGGACGACGCTTTTTTTTATCATTACCCTCAATTCCCATGTAAATGAGGGTAAGGAATTGTAACACTGAGTTGTAGTTCCTCTCACAGACAGACTTTCCTCTTGCACTACAGTGTTTCCTGTTCCCTTTTCTATCGTTGATTTCCTGCATAAAATAGGAATATTTACATCAAAGTCTCTCAGATCTTTTAAATTTTGATTTTCGCATTACCTCGTGTAATCCTGTTACCTTGTACAAATGACATATTCCTTGTAAAGATGACATTCTCGAAACTCAACAATAATATCGCCGACGACATATTTTTTAATAACTTCCTTACCGTCTATTATTTTAATAATATATACAAGTAGGCTATGTAAAAAATGAAATTGTTAAAAGCTTATCGGGAAATAATTTGAATGCTTTCTGGAGTAGATTGTGTCGTCGTTCTCTGTATCTCATTCAAGAGGTTATCAGCACTTTATTTCTACACACGAATAGCTTTGAGCTGCATTTTTGCGATAGATCAATTGTTACTGTAGCTTAACTTATTCTAATTAAGTGATCGTTGAAAAAATTCAAAAAAATTATTATTGCCTTATTTAACAAATGATTTGTCTTTTTTAGGAAAATAGTTAGATTGATCAAAAACAGTCTTCCTGGAATTCTTGCATTATTACCAAATGAAACAAAATCGTTGGTAAAAAAAAATTTCTGACCAATGCATTTTTGGTCATTTGGTAATTTTTTTTCACCTTTCAGTATAGTTTGCATATCTACTACCAGGAACTAATTATACCATAATATATAAAATATACTTAAGGAGGCTCATTATGCCACTTTTTGATGACGTACTACACAAAAAATAAACCTTCATTGTTTCGATCGTTTTCCTCATGGGACGAATTGTACTTTAATAATATGACCCTGACCTACGAAGTAACAGATTCATTATCATAAACCAAGAAGGATTGCTTTTACGCAGAAATAAAAGAAAAACAACAGCCAAATCTTCGCCAAACAAGAAATGTGCAATTTCAAAGCAAAGCAGTAAGCTCTTTCAATCAATGACATGTTTGGATGGGGGAAATTTAAGTTAAAATCTACAATCTTGTTGAAATTAAAAGTTATTCATTTGCACTACTAGTAACCAGTAACTAAGTAGTAACTAATCTACTGGTGTTGATTTATATATTTGCTTTATTGATTTAAATATATACTCTAGTTTAGAGCTTTGTTCCGAATTTTAGATATAATGTTCACTTCAAACGTTCCTTAGTGTTTTGAGTCGTGAGTAATTAGGAAAATTAACTTTTGAAAGTGGATTTTTCATGAAATTTTTTCATTTTGTTTAAACATTTTCCATTCAATTTATCTCATGCAATTCATTGAAATACATTTCTTGTCTCTCCATTTTGTTAATGTTATATGCACAGATTAAAAAGATAATGACAATTGTTTTTTGGAAGGAAATTAATTTTTTTTCTAATGTGGAAGAATGCTTAGGTAGTGTAGGTTTTTATGGTAACAGGTTTTTAATGCTGAAAAATATAAATAATCTGCATTAGCTTTGTAAAGAAAACTATGTCAAGTTATGTTTTGGGTAGGATCACACCATTTTAGACAGAGTTATGCCCTTTTGGACTTAGAAAAAATCCAATTTGGGGGGAGCGGGCATAAGTGTTTTACAAACATATTCTTGTTTGCTCTTTATATTATAGTGGCATTGTTATACCCTTTGAGTTAAAACCATTCATGTATAAAATAAAAAGGAAAAAATTCTTAATTGCAACACAATTTTTAATACCTTTTGATTTTTATTGGTAAAAGGCAAACTTCAGCCATTACTCTACCTTGTCCTTCAACTGTCCATAATATACTGTTTTAAATAATTTAAATTTTAACAAACTTCATCAATTGTAATATTTGAATTCTTTTAGAGAAGTCCCAAAGACAAAAGTGGGAAAAGAGCCGACAGTCAGAAAAAGAAAGAAGGCAAAACTGAAACTGACTTTGCTTCACCAACAAAGAAATGTCAGTGGTCTCCAGGTAAATATTAATCCTTTTATCAAAGTCTAACTGGTCTATGTGTGAGTATGTGTAATATTTGACTGTTGTATTATTATATTTTAATGTTTAGACACATTTGTATTATTTTATCATTTTAACCTCATAAGGGGGCAAGTAATTGTATATTTCAACTTTTGAGTCAAATTTACTTGTATGTCTTTACAGATTTAAAGGCACTGATAAAACTGGTGACTCCTGAAAAGAAGGGGAAAACCAAAGGAAAAAAAAGTAAAAAGGTTGTCCTGTCTGCAGTGTCGTCTTAAAACCTGGGTCAGAGATCATCCCAAAATCTGCCTCAGAGGTCATCCCAAGACCTGATTCTGAAGGCATCCAGAAACCTTTCTCAGAAGTCTTCACAAAATCTGGTGCAGAGGTCACCTTAAAACCTTGGTCAGAGGTCATAAAAAATCCTGGCTCCGAGGTCATCCCAAATCCTAGGTCAGAGGGCACTGGTAGACCAGAAAGCATGAATAACTTGTCAATGCCTTCCATTTATACCTTCATGTCACCTGTACAGGTTACAAGTGGTAACTCGCAAAACATTTCCTGTGAGGTTGGACTTACTCCTAAAACTGTACTGACAGCAGTGTCTGCTCTAAAAGACAACAACAAACCCTCTTCAAGAAAATCTTTACCAGTTCATCAAAATACAGAACCAGATATTGGATTAACAGTTAAAGAAAAACCAACTGTCCAAGTTCCAAGTTCCCAAGAAGCATCAAATGTCTCATCTTCCCCTGCAAGACACAATACTGAAGGATCAAAGCAGATGGTTGCTGTTAATCAGGGTGATGGAAGAGTTCTAGGTGATGTGGAAACAGACTACAGTAAAATTCCATACTCACCCAACCAGGATTTTCTTGCCTCACCTGTTCGTTACCATAGTCCAGACATTGCTGTTTCTCTTGGAAATCAGTACTATGAACATGTATCATCTAGTCATTTTGACAGTCCAAGTTTAGCTGTGCCTCATGCCAGTCAAATAGTCACACCCACTCTATGTACGCCAGCTAATACAGTATCTCAAAACACACCTATTATGTCAGACACTGTATCTTTTGCAACAAGTGAAAATGTGTATACTAATGGGATGACTTATGTACAGAATTCTGTGCCGTATCTGGGACAAGTGATAAATGCAGGAGACCCTTCACTGCAGTACAATACAGTGTATATTGACAGTAAAGGAACTGTGATTCAGACAGGATTAGATACAGTAGGGCATAATGTGGTACCAACATATACCACAGAACAGGACAGTATCTCGACTCAGGAACCTGTGATGGATATTTTATCAGCTGCGGCTTCAGTGATAACTTCAAGTCCCCTGGAGACGGTCGATGGTGAACAGTTAAACGCTACTCCAGAGAAAAAGGACAAAGAAGAAAGTTTGGGACAGCTTATTGCCATCCCTGTTGGACGGTATTATCCGGAGAAAAAACTACATGTCAGGTCTCTGGACTTTGGTCCTGATGCTGCAACAGTAGAAATCCGAAAACCAGGTTATGGCAGGGGACGTAAGAAGAAGAGCTATGGTGATGTTAAAAGCCCTGTAAAGCCAGGAGGTCTGGGGAATAAGCAGACCAAGGGAAAAACAAAGAGTAAAGAAGCCGTAAAAGCAAAAGCCGATAAAAAAGATGATGGGGTGTCTCAAAAGCAAACCAGTCTCCTGGTGCAAGTGGTAGAAAAACAGGAAACGGTTGTGGAACAGGCAGATTGGAAGAACTTTGAAAAAGATGATTTAATTCCAGATGCTTCAGGTTCTGTATACATTGTAGAAGGAAACACCAGAAAGAAAATTAAGTTAAACAAGACACCTCGTCCAGTACGAAATTTGTCACCTTACTTTCTGCCCAATGCTTTTGACTTGGCTTCAGGCATTATTCCAGTTAGAACAGAGATCTACAAGAAGGGGAGAAACATAACAGTCCCTGCTGGGGTAGCTATGCCAAAATTTGAGCAGGTGTCATCGGGAAGTGTGGAACACGAGGGAGGGGACAGTGATATAGACGTGGATGGGGACTGTGAACTGCCGGATTTATCACCAGAACCTCCAACTTCTAGTACACCTGTGTCTAAATGTTCAGAATATGTACAGAGAACAGAGAAAATACATGTAACTCCTGGAAAAATTTCTTCTGTTGATGTTGACAACCGTAGTATAAAAAATTCATCAGTGATCACCGTTTCGGACAGTTGTGATAGTAATGCAAGCAGGAAACCAAATAGTGATTCAAAGAAAATGGCTTTTAACACAGGGTCTTCCAATGTGGACAATAACCCATTATCTGTGAGAAGCTGCCATGGGAATCCTGGTAGTATTTTTAGTAACAACAGTAATTCCCTCCCAGATCTGGATAGCCCCCTCCCCCTGATCAACATGTCAACTCCCCCAAAGAAAAGAATCACAGCATCCCTCAAACATGGAGGAGGCTGTTACTTCTTCTCTACACTACTGAATTAAATATCCCCTTAGATTCCAAAGAATCCCCTGTTGTCCCCCTGTCAGTCCCTGACATTTTCCTGTCTCTCCCTGACTTTCTCCTATGATCCCCTGTCGTTGTCCCTGCTCTCCCTGTCGAGTCCCTGTCGTCCCCTGTCGTTGTCCCTGCCTTCCTTGTCTACTCCCTGTCGTCCCCTGACATTCTCTGATCTCCCTGTCCAGTCCCTGTCGTCCCCTGTCGTTGTCCCTGCCTTCCCTGTCTACTCCCTGTCGTCCCCTGACATTTATTTTGGCCGAGAAAAGGAGTTTAAGATATATTTTTGTTGCATTTAAGAGTGAAAAATGATTTAGTCTTGAAAACTTTAAGTATTTTTATTAAATATAGACTTAGTTAAAAGTTAACACATTTTTAAATGCCATAACTAAATCCTTGTAATTTAGTTTCTACAACTTGTATCAATGTGATTTTTTTTAGCTTGGTAGCATTCCAGGGGGGGGGGGGCTGGGAGAGAGAGAGAGAACGGCAGAGAATTGCATCGATTCTAAAGAAGAAATAAATTACCAATTTATTGAATTTTGTGATGTTAGACGGCATATACATTGTTCTTTATGAACCTTTTATATATATTTATAAACTTTTTCATTTTTTATTTGATCTACTTTGAAACATCTTTGAGCGTAATAACTGTCTTTGTAAAAGAACTAGATTTAAACATTTGGGAATACATTATCAAATCTATGCATGGGATTTTTTCCCAAAGAATTTAAATGAATAAAAAATAATTGAAAGGAATAATATGTAAATGCATTAATAAAATAAATGTCAACGAAATAAATAAAAATTATTAAATAAACTATTAATCTATTCTATTCATTTATTTTTTTATGTGGATAAATCTACAAATAAACTGAATTAAGAATGAATGAATAATTAAATAAATAAATAATGAGAATTATACAAATTATTCATTTATTTCTTTTTTTAATTTTTAATTTTTTTAATCACTCATTTATATCCCCAAAATTTGATTTATTAGTTTTATTTTATTTATTTGCTGAAATATACTACAAAGTATTTTATTAGCATATTAAAATGACTTTTTATTACTTTAAGCCCATGATGGATATCAAAATAATCGTCTCATTATGTACAACATTAATCTGTCAATTAGATTTTTGATTTGATTAAAAAATCGGTTTTCCAAACCCTAACACAGTTCTGAAAGAACAACAAAGCCATTGATGTTTACCAGTAATTAACTCGGTGTACACAGTCATGACACCTATTGTCTTTTTCACTGACCGCTATACTTTCTTTATGTTGTGTTCAGAGTGACCGTGTACAGTTTGCAGCTGTTTAAAATAACATTTTCGCTTTGTATGAGAACTTAATTTTTTTTTCAATCAAAATAAAAGTATCAAAGAAATTATTGACGGGTAAAAATTGTGCATGATGAGACGATTATTTTGATATCCATCATGGAAGTAAAATAATAAAAGCAGTTTTATTATGCTTCAAAAATACTTTGACACATATTTTATCGTAAATAGTTTTACATAAAATAAGCCAAACAAATTCCATTTTTGGGTATTTGATTATTTAATTTGTTTGTATCGTCAATTTTAAAAATAAAAAAAGATTGTTTTATAATAGATAAATAAATGCAGTTAATAAGTTTATTTTTTTTAATTATTTATAAACTATATAAAATCACTTATTGTATTGATTTTAAAAACTTAATCATTCCAAAATGCACCAGTATCCCCTGCTGTCTCTCTCTTTTTTCTATCTTTTTTTTTACAAATGGTACGAAGTCAAACCAATATTTAATGAATAAAACAGATTACAGCGAAATAAATACATAGTAAATAAATAGAATAAAATAAATTAATAATATGAAAATTACTAATGAAATATCAATCTATTTATTTACTTTTGAAATTGATAATGCAAAAAAAAAGTCAATCATTTTTATTCGCAAGATACTGTGTTTCTTTAGTTTTATTTTACATAAACAGTTGCATCCTTAGATGTGCTTCAAAGTATTTTATTAGCATATTAAAACGACTTTTTATTATTTTAAGTCCGTGATGGATATTAAAATAATCGTCTCATTATGCACAATATTAATCTGTCAATTAGATTTTTGATATATTGATTTGATTAAAAATCGGTTTTTAAAACCCTAACACAGTTCTGAAAGAACATCAAAGCCATTGATGTTTACCAGTAATTAACTCGGGGTACACAGTCATGACACCTATTGTCTTTTTCACTGACCGCTATACTTTGTTTATGTTGTGTTCAGAGTGACCGTGTACAGTTTGCAGCTGTTTGAAATAACATTTTCGCTTTGTATGAGAACTTTTTTCAATCAAAACAAAATAAAAGTATGAAAGAAACTATTGACGGGTAAAGATTGTGCATAAGGAGACGATTATTTTGATATCCATCATGGAAGTAAAATAATTCAAAACAGTTTTAATATGCTTCAAAAATACTTTGACAAATATTTTATCCTAAATAGTTTTACATAAAATAAGCCAAACAAATCCCATTTTCGGGTATTTGATTATTTAATTTGTTTGTATCGTCAATTTTAAAAATAAAAAAAGATTGTTTTATAATAGATAAATAAATGCAGTTAATGAGTTTTTTTTTTTTTAATTATTTATAAACTATATAAAATCACTTATTGTATTGATTTTAAAAACTTAATTATTCCAAAATGCACCAGTATCCCCTGCTGTCTCTCTCTTTTTTCTATCTTTTTTTTTTTTTACAAATGGTACGAAGTCAAACCAATATTTAATGAATAAAACAGATTACAGCGAAATAAATACATAGTAAATAAATAGAATGAAATAAATGAATAATATAATAATTATTAATAAAATATCAATCTATTTATTTACTTTTGAAATTGATAATACAAAAAATTAATCAATCATTTATATCTGCAAGAAATTGTGTTTCTTTATTTTTGTTTTATATAAACAGTTGCATCCCTAGATGTGCTACAAAGTAATTTATTAGCATATTAAAACGACTTTTAAATATTTTAAGTCCATGATGGATATCAAAATAATCGTCTAATTATGCACAACATTAATCTGTCAATTAGATTTTTGATACATTGACTTAATTAAAAATCGGTTTTTAAAACCCTAACACAGTTCTGAAAGAACAACAAAGCCATTGATGTTTACCAGTAATTAACTCGGGGTACACAGTCATGACACCTATTGTCTTTTTCACTGACCGCTATACCTTGTTTACGTTGTGTTCAGAGTGACCGTGTACAGTTTGCAGCTGTTTGAAATAACATTTTCTTTTTGTATGAGAACTGATTTTTTTCTCAATCAATACAAAATAAAAGTATCCAGGAAGCTATTGACGGGTAAAGATTGTGCATAATGAGACGATTATTTTGATATCCATCATGGAAGTAAAATAATAAGAAGTAGTTTTAATATGCTTCAAAAATACTTTGACACATTTTTTTTTTATCGGAAATCGGTTTATATTGAATAAGCCAAACAAATCCAATTTTCAGGTTTTTTGTGATTTAATTTGTTTGTATCGTCAATTTCAAAGATAAAAAAATGTTTGTTTTTATAATGATTAAATTCATGCAGTTAATTAGTTTTTTTATTTACTAACTACCTGAAATCAATTAATGTATTGGTTTTAAACACTAAAATATTCCAAAATGCACCAGTACCCCCTGCTGACCTTTTTTTTTTTTTTTTTTTACAAATGGTACAATGTCAAACCAGTATTTAATGAATAAAACGGAAAACAGCAAAATAAATACATAGTAAATAAATGAAATAAATGAATAATATAATAATTATTAATGAAATATTAATCTATCTATTAACTTTTGAAGTTGAAACTACAAAAAATTAATCAATCATTTATATCTGCAAGAAATTGTGTTTCTTTAGTTTTATTTTACATAAACAGTTGCATCCTTAGATATGCTACAAAGTATTTTATTAGCATATTGAAACGACTTTTTATTATTGTAAGTCCGTGATGGATATCAAAATAATCGTCTCAATATGCACAATATTAATCCGTCAATTAGATTTTTGATGCTTTGTTTTGATTGAATGACAGTCATGACACCTATTGCCTTTCTCACTGACTGATATACTTTGTTTATGTTGTGTTCAGAGTGACCGTGTACAGTTTGTAGCTGTATGAAATAAAGATAATAGGTGTCATGACCTTGTACCCCGGTAAATAAATAAAGTTTTCAAGACTATATCATTTTCCACTCTTAAATGCAACAAAAATATATTTAAAACTCCTTTTCTTGGCCAAAATAAATGTCAGGGGACGACAGGGAGTAGACAGGGAAGGCAGGGACAACGACAGGGGACGACAGGGACTGGACAGGGAGGTCAGAGAATGTCAGGGGACGACAAGGAGTAGACAGGGAAGGCAGGGACAACGACAGGGGACGTCAGGGACTAGACAGGGAGAGCAGGGATAACAACAGGGGATCATAGGAGAAAGTCAGGGAGAGACAGGAAAATGTCAGGGACTGACAGGGGGACAACAGGGGATTTTTTAGAATCTAAGGGGATATTTAATTCAGTAGTACTACTGCCTCCCAGGAGGGGAAAAATTCCACATCAACTGTGGAGTCGAGGGAATGTGATACCACCAAGGATGTGATGAGAGGGTCCAGGTCTCCTCGAACTCCGAAGGGAAAACGGACGCCTGGTAAAGCGGTCAGACAGAGCCCCAGACTGTTTGGGAGTCCTAGTCGTCAGTTACGAAGTATGACCTCACCTGCTAAAGTTAATCCACAACAAGTAGCATCCCCAAAATCAGTGGAGAAAAAGAAAGGAGTGAAGAGACTAAGGGAGATAACTCCTGGAGAGGTAGGTTATTTCAGAAACAAAATTAAAAAAGCACTTTATTTTTAGGTCACCTGAGTCACTCAGGTGACCTATTGCCATCCGTGTTTGTCCGTCGTCGTCCGTCGTCCGTCGTTCGTCGTCCGTCGTTCGTCGTGTGTTAACATTTGAACATTTTCAGCTTCTTCTCTGAAACCGCTAAACCAATTTCAACCAAATATGGCACAAAGCATCTATGGGTGAAGGGGAACAAAAATTGTGAATTTCATGATCCCTGCCCCCCTGGGGCCTGAGGGGTGGGGCCAAAACCACTAAAATTAATGCAATCTTTAAAAATCTTCTTCTTTACTCCTGGACATCAAGCAGTCAAACTGTTTGCATGATTGTAATCAGCAATGAGTCCTCTACCAAAATTGTGAAATTCATGGCCCTGGGGTCAGGGGTTCTAGTGCTAGGGCGGGGCTAAATAAGTAGGTAGTGAAAATGCATTATTTCTTTGAAAATCTTCTTCTCTGCTCCTGGGTATTAAATAAACCAACTAAGTACATAGTTATGATGAGCAAGAGTGCCTCTACCAAAATTGTGAATTTTATGGCCCCAGGGTCAGGGGTTCTGGTGTTAGGGCGGGGCTCTATTGATTATATAGTGAAAATAAATGAATTCTTTGAAAATCTTCTTCTCTGCTCCTGGGTATTAAATAAATTAACTAAGTACATAGTTATGATGAGCAAGAGTGCCTCTACCAAAATTGTGAATTTTATGGCCCCAGGGTCAGGGGTTCTTGTTTTAGGGTGGGGCTCTAATGATTATATAGTGAAATGCATGAATTCTTTGAACATCTTATCCTTTGCTTCTGGTTAATATACTAATGATCTAATTACATATTTAAGGCCAGGATTTATTTTATTTTCTGTTTTACAAACCCTCCGCTCAAGGTTTTTAATTTTCAGAAAAAAATAAAACAATTTTTTTCTTTCCGATGTCAAATTTGAGTCGGGATCGAGATTTCAAATTTACGAAATCGCATTTCCGGTTTTAAGATAATCTTGGTTTAGTGTAAAATTCATCGGTACGAGTGCCATTCAAAACGTTTCACCCGTTCAAAGGACAAATAAAATGCCGACGACTTTATTGCACAATGACATGCTGGTGAGATAATTATGTATTTGTTTCAAAAATATCTGTCTGTAAATTATTTTCCTCCCCCAGGTTTTAAACTGCCCGTGGTAGCTATTGCATATTGCCAGCGACATTGTTTAGGTCTCTGTTATAGCTTACAGTCTAAGCATCATTCTTCAGAAAAGGGTTGCTTATGCATCAGATGTAATGAATAAAACTATGGGAGAACATGGAGAAGTTAGGTCCATTTGAGGAAGAAATAAACAATAAATGAAGAAATTAAAAAAAATTCAACTATTAAAAGGCAAGATGTTCACCCTATTCCCCAATACCCCCGGTCTGTTTTAAGATAGGAATTATAATTTTAGGCATCAAGTAAATTTTAGAACAATGTCTACACATTCACCTAACACATATTTAAAAAATGAAGATATATTGAAAGACTTTTAAAGAAATGATTTTTTAAAATATATTTTGACCAACATCACAAAATTTATATAACTGGCCCAAACTGGCAGATGATGAAATAAGCAATTAAATGTTCTTCTTTCCTATTTGTAAGCATTATGTGTCCAGTAGTAAGGAGCCTATTAGACGTGTTAGAATAGCATAAAAGAAGAATGTACAAATGTTAATAATTGATTTATCAAAAAAAAAATTTATTTCCTTCTCCTTCGGGACTTTTTATTCTCATGTTCATAACTAAACCTAAACATAAAAAAAATGCTGGCCTTATAATGAAGAAAGCAGCCTCTTTCAAATAGATAATTTCAGGGCCGCTGGGTCAGGGGTACCAGGGGGGTACTTTGACTAAAAATAAATTAATGCTTTGAAATCTGCCCTTTGATAAGCAATGGTGCCTCCTTCAAAATTTGTGAATTTCATGGCTTTTGGATTAAAACATGAACCAATTGCAATCGCTGGAAAATTGTTACATGATACTCAGGTGACCTATAAGGCCCGTGGGCCTCTTGTTGAATAATGAATTGAATTCAATCTTGTATGCTCAGTTTTAAATTTAAAAAATAAACAATACTGAAATGCTAATCTGCAGTTGTAAATACATGTATAATAAAAATTCAATGAGGATAAATCCTTCAAATTTTTTTGGATTTAAACGTTTGTCTGATGTTAGAAAAATTCATGTATTTATGTTAATATTTCAGCCAAGCAAAACGGAGAAAAAAACTAAAAAGGTAAAACTTTTTCAGTTTTACATTTTTCAGTAAAAAACTTATGTAATACCATTTAAACCATATTTTTCTCAATAAATACATGAATTTATGGAACAAAACTGAAATTTTGAAATCCATTTTTTCAGGCACGAAACGGGAAAAGAACAGTTGACCTGAGTAAAGTGGATTTTGATAAATTCCTCAATAAAATACACAAGACGTAAGGGACTTAAGGTAAATTGCTACAATTAAGTCTTTTATTAAAGGTTTACTGATATTAATTACTGATTAATAAAGCTACTAGAACGAAATGTATCGGGATCAATTTCCTGTGCAAAATAATATTTTTTCCTATTTTTTTTTACCAGAGAGCCTTTCTTTGTGGAAGAATCTCAGATGTGATGCTTCATGATGCACAATGACAAAGATTTACAAATGTAAAGTAATTCTAAAGAGAAAACCTGCTCAGATCATATTCATATTTAATAATTTATTTATAAAAATAGAGTTTTTTTGTAATTATGTTATACCAGTCTTGAATGTTAAGAAACATATTTGATTTTGTTGACTGTCACTGTGTGTGGCTCAGTAAATTATTTATTTCCAAGAATTGATATTGTGATGTGTTATTTATGAATGATGAAGAGGCAATGTAAGGTGTTGGATTTGAGTGACAGACATATTTATCTCCCCATAAAAAAATTGTTTCATGAGCTTCTACTATCCATCCTAAGTTTACAATAGCTGCAGAATTGTAGCTCTCCGATGAAATATTTTGAAAGACCAGAGAGCTACAGAGCCACTCATTGTAAAAACTATATATTAAGTGCACCCAAAAAGTTGCGCTTAGTTCTGGAATAATTCTTCAAAATTCTTACCTCAATCGCAAAAAAAGATAGATTTCAAAAAATTCCTTAATCCTCTATCAAGTACTCTCGTGGTTGACATCTGTACGAAGTGCATGGGACCGAATTATCTTGCAAACCAAAATGGCAGTTGAAATGATCTCAATTTCAGGACCAAGTGGGCTAATAACAACAATTATAAGGAATGCTTTGTTGTGGAAACAGTGAAATAATATGTTAGGAACACAAGGTTGGTATTATTTTTAGTTGACATTTTATAAACATGGAGAAATAAGTCGAGAAACGGTGCAATAAATAGTTTTTTGTTTTTTTTTCAATGGGTGGCACGGTAGCTCTCCGGTTTGTCTATATATTTTTTCGGAGATCTATGATTCTGCAGCTAAGTTTACAATGAATTGCACTACTTACCCAATTATCCTAGAAAAATATATTTATGTAGCCTAAAAATATAACTATATTGTAGTAAATACGAGGGGCATTTCAAAAGTCCTGAGAACTGTTTAATAAAAAATTAACCGTTTTACGGAAATTATTGAGTTTGGTATCATTGGAAAGAGCAGAAAAAATAAACACATATTGTGACGTCACTTTATAATTTTTATGACGTAATATCACTGATAATGACGTCAAACTTCCGCATACTTACAATACTGACCATAAAAATGACGTAACAAAAGACACAATTTCATTAATGTAAAATTTTAAAAACAACTTTTGCTCATTACTCGGGTGCAAACTATCGGACGTAAATGACAGTTGGTAGAATCTTTAAATAGACTACAATCTATCAGATGGTGGTCTATTTCAGAGATCTTCTTGTTCTGAAATGGTTTAAGCGATTGTCAAACATCGCAAGTTTTTATAGAATCTTGCTCAAAATATTGCGTAAAACAGACACAACTGTTAGAATAAAGCAAAATTGGCAATCAAAGAAAAATAGACGATCATGTTACTTAATTTCATGGCATCAATTCGTCAGGTGTTTTTACCATATTTGTGGGATCGATGAAGGCTCAAGAGAAGTTAAATTTAGTGTGGCCCATATTTTCTCGTAAAATCCAAAATGGCGCGGGCGCAGTTGAAAGCCCACCGTACTTCCACATATTCGCAAAAATTAATTCATGGAATTTAAATAAGATTCTACATGTCTGTGTAACTTATAAACCTTTCTTGGAGTTAAAAGTCAAAATCAGTACTGAGTTTTGGGGGCCCAGAAGTTGAATTAATGAGAAAAAATACGTACAGAAACAAGTCAGGGGCAAGACTTTTGTACATTTTATTTGTAAACGGTAAGAGTACTGTTACTCAAAATATATTTGTTGAAAATTGCATCAATATACTTTAGTTTTATACAGAATTTTTTTTATTTCATACAATGGAGAACTATATAAAAGACCGAAAATACAGTCGTATCGTGTAACTTAAAATCTTGGATGAATGTCGATGATAGCATAACCGGACATAAACCGCCCTAGTAAACGAACAAAACAATGAAATATAGTATTGTTGATAAACAGTACCATAGTCCTACTCAACTTCTTTGCAAATGAAAATTTACTTTGAAATATTTTTTTCAAATAAGCCTTCGGCAGCACTTTTAAAATTGTGCCATGTGGATATAAACGCGAATTTTCAGTATGCTAAACATTCTATATTCTGACGTCATATTCGGTGATATTACGTCATAAAAATTATAAAGTGACGTCACAATGTGTGTGTTTTTTCCTGCTCTTTCCAATGATACCAAACTCAATAATTTCCGTGAAACGGTTAATTTTTTATTAAACAGTTCTCAGGACTTTTGAAATGCCCCTCGTACTGTGAAAATAAGTATTTTAACAAAGCGCGACACACTTAAAAGAAATGATTTTTAAAAAAAAAATGAATTTAAGTCGCTGCATTTCATTTCCGGAAATACGCATAGCATTTCCGACATTTTTTTATATCATTTCCGACATTTTTTGTTTTCATTTCCGACATAATTTTTTTTTCATTTCCGGAATTTACCTGTGCGTCAATTCAATATTTTCTAAGTAAAAGAAAATGGAATTTTAAAAGTATTTATGCCAAAATGTTAATAAGAAAAACATCTATACATATATGCATGTAGCACTTTAGTCTAGGTAAAAGAGTTTAATGAGCATAAAACTTTTTTCACCATATTTAATGTGCACTAAATTAAATGTCAGTGACAGCACCATACTTATGTCCAAGTCACTGATAGATGTACAAACACTACTGGACGAAAAAAGTGCTGAGAATCCCAAATTTTACTGATAATGTTTGATAATTACTGATACTGTCCTGTTGTTGCTGATAAATACTGATATTTACTGTTATTATTACTGTTGTTGCTGATATTTTTTGTTGTTTCTGATAATTACTGATAATTACTGTTGCCTTTTACTGTTGAGTCTGATAAATACTGATAAATACTGTTGAGGTACTGTCGTTGCTGAGAATTGCTGATAATTACTGTTGAGGTACTGTCGATGCTGAGATTTACTGATAATTACTGTGGTCATTGTTTTTAACCTGGTAATTGGTTTAAAATAAAACAGAGGGCTATAAAAACCTTCAATTATTACTTTCTTTAACTTGAATTGTCATGGCAAAATTTTCATATTTTTTTAAAATGTTCTGCTTGTCGCAAAATTACATGACTGTATGAATGTACATGTATGCTGATATCAATTTCTACATTACGTTAACTTTGTGAAAATTTTGACAATAATCAAATGAATTATTAATAGAATGAATATATAGAAATATAATTAATAAAAAAAAATTAACTGCAGGAAAAAAATGGAATTTTACTTTTGCATAAGATCTTATTGAAAAATAAACGGTAAATAAAAAGAAAATTATGCTATCTTAAAAAAGATCCATCGCCGCCTTTCCCGACTCCAAGAAAATTATGTAGGGAGATCGGTGATCTTTTTTTTCAATAATAAGAAAAAAAGTTCTTAATGGATGGGAAAAAATCGGGATAAAAAAGTTTCCTGCAGGTTAGAAAAGTTGGATTTGTTCCGTTTTCACTAGGTCAACTGGTCAAGTTTGGACAACATTTTGTTTTTGAAGGCCTTTTTTTTCTCTAAAACAATTATATTTATCTTGTTAAATGTTCAGTTTTCTGGTCTCTTTTCGTCGAAATATTTGAAAATTTGCTCGAAAATTAGAAATTTTATCCCTTTTAAAAAGTGAGTAAGAGGTGAAAACAGGTTTGAATATGTTCAATCTGTGGGCACTGATTTTAATTAATAATTGATTTATTTATTCATTTATTTTAATGTTATGTAGACTTTTGTAGATCGTCCAAGAATTAAACTCCTCCACATGTACATATGTACAAGTACACACTGTATGCATGTGCAAGCGGCACATGGGGCGAGCTGATTAAAAATTAGAGGTTAAGAATCCCTAGTACAAAGGTACATGTGTTTAGTTTGTCTCTTATAATTTAAATACAAAATCATTTTTTATTTAATCAGTTTTGAAATCTCATTATTTTTTTTTATTTGATTTTATGGAATGGGAAATAAGAACTGAAATGAGACTTAATTTAATACGTTACTATTAGCATGATTAGTATACATATGTATGATCAAATTGATCGATTTTAATTTTGCATGGTAAAAAGTTGAAAGGAAAACACCTTTAAATTGATTTCAATTGATCAGAAATCGGTGATCGACCTATGATTTGGCTGTATTGTGTACATGTCTTCAGCCCCGGGGTAGAACGGGGTACAACTTGTATATTCCATGCAAATTGTAGTGGTCAGCGTAACAATGGGCACTAATTACCTATTGTTCGTCGTCTGCGGCTACCGGTGTTTTCAATAAACAAACTACCTACACTGTACATGTACTCGCTACTTTGGAACAATCTTAAAGTGTATCGTTGCACGAAAAAAAATTCCATGACGAATAAAATTCATAGAAAAAATATTTAGAATAGAACACTTTGGTACTATAATGAAAAAAAAGATACATATATGTACATCATGTACGTTGTACAGACTTACTTTCATTATTATTTCAATTCTCAAAGATCTATCTTCTTCAGTATTTAATTTCATTTTTTAGTTTTACGCATATTTCTTCAATCAATCAATCATTTATTTGAATCTTCTTACCATTTTACTTTAGTATACATAGACCACAAAAACATTAAAAAAAATTAGGTGATTTTATACATAACAGTAGGTCTAAAAGGCATGCGTGAATAAGAAACTAAACAAAAAAAAAATGTATGTTGCTATAAATGCAAAGTAAGGGAATTTAGGCCGGGGAGTATATTTTGTTTATCAGATAAAAGAATATCCCGGGGGAGGTGGTCACATGTATTTTCAATTCTGAATCTCTGCTAACGATTGTTCGGGACCGGTAAATACGTAGACGAGAAATTTACTTCACTTTTTAATAAAAAAAAAAGTGTGCAAAATATACAATCATATAGATATAAAGAGAAAGATTGTTTAGTGAAGCACTTTTTTGATATAATATAAGCATGAATTGTTCCCAATTCAGATGCAGAGAAACTCCACTTCGCTTAATCCGAGAAAAAAAAAACCTTAAATGTATTGATTTTGAATGTCAGAAACATGACGTTGTGTATCGCACTCATGAATAAATGTTATAATTACTTCAGTTCTGATATTTGTATGATTCATTGCAATTGATTCTCTAAAATAATTTTATTCATGCATATAAAAAATTCGATAAGTATATCATAACTTGCA